AATCCAGCATCCCCTCTTGATAAAAACCCTTGAGCACCTAGGCATAGAAGGAGCATTCCTCAAAACAGTAAGAGCCATCTATGATAAACCCATAGCCAACATTTCGCTCAATGGTCCGAAGATGGAACCATCCCCCGTAAGAACGGGAACAAGACAAAGATGCCCACTCTCACCCCTCCTGTTCAACATAGTGCTAGAAGTCCTTGCCAGAGCAATTAGGCAAGAGAAGGAAATCAGAGGTATCCAAATAGAAAAAGAGGAAGTTAAGTTATCCCTCTTTGTAAATGATATGGTGCCAGACCCTGAAAACCCAAGAGATACTATCAAAAGCCTCCTCGTACTGATAAACAATTTTGGTAAGGTTTTGGGGTGCAAAATCAAAGTGCAAAAGACAGTTGCATCTCTATACATCAACAACAAACTGGCAGAGAACCATATAAAAAGCACAATCCCATTCACAATAGCCACAAAAAATGAAATACCTTGGCATGCATCTAACCATAGAAGTGAAAGACCTTCACAATGAGAAGTACAAAACACTGCTCAAAGAAATCAAGGATGACATAAACAAATGGAAAAACGTTCCTTGCTCATGAACTGGGAGAATCAATATTGTCAAGACGTCCATCCTACCCAAGGAAATCTACAGATTAAATACAATACCCATCAAATCACCAACATCATTCTTCTCAGACCTGAAAACAATACAGAAATTCATATGGAAACAAAAAAGAGCATGAATAGCCAAAATAATCTTCAGCAAAAGGAACAAAGTAGGAGGCATTGCACTTCTAGACTTTAAACTTTATTACAAGACTACAGTAACTAAAACAGCCTGATATTGGTACAAGAATAGGCACAAAGACCAATGGAACAGGATAGAGATTCCAGAAGCAAAAATAAAGCCATCAAGAACAATCACTGGAGAAAGGAAACCATAGTTAGCAAATGGTCCTGGGAAAACAGGCTGACCACATGCAGAAGACCCCTACCTATCACCATATAAAAAAATCAACTCAAAATGGATAAAAGACCTAAACATAAAACCTTAAACTTTAAGAATCCTAGAAGTAAACATAGAAAACCCTTAGGCACATAAAAGTAGGCAACGAATTATTGACTAAGGCCCCAAAAGCAAATACCATAAAAGCAAAGATAGACTATGAGACCTCATCAAACTGAAAAGCTTTTGCACAGCAAAATAAACAATTAGGAGACTAAATAGACAATCCATAGAATGGGAGGAAATATTTGTAAATTATGCATCTCACAAAGGCCTACCATTCAGGATCTACAAGGAACTCAAACAAAATGAAAGAAGTAAAACAAACAACCCCATTAACAAGTCTGCAAAGCCTTCTGGGAATATACCTGGAAGAACTTAAATCACTCTACAAAAAAATACCTGTACACATATGTTTATTGCAGCACTGTTCACAATAGCAAAAACATGGAACCAACAATGCTACCCATCAAAACTGGACTGGATAAAAAAAAATGTGTACATATACACAATGGAATATCATGCAGCCATAAATAAGGACAAAATTATGGACTTCACAGAAACTTGAATGGATTTAGAATCTATAATACTCAGTGATGTATCACAGAAACAAAGAACCAAGTACCACATGTTCTCACTCATAAATGGACCCTAAACATTTATCATAATACTATAAGAAAGGGATTGGCAGTAGCCAGAAACTGCCGGGGGAGGGTTAGGGGTCACATGACATCAATAAGTATACCTGATCTCAAACCAAAAGAAGTGAGAACCAAAGGGAGGCCCAAACTTCACCTGTACGATGACCACTTGTATACCTAATCCTGAACTGTACCCCACAACTTTAACATAAAAAATTTAAAAGTGGGCAAAGGACATGAATGGGCACTTCTCAAAAGAAGATATACAAGCAGTCAACAGACTCATGATAAAATGTTCAGCCTCACTAATTGTCAGAGAAATGCCAATCAAAACTACATTGAGATACCACCTAACTCCAGTAAGGATGGCTGTCATTAAAAAGTCAAAAAACAACAGATTCTGGTGTGGGTGTGGTGAAAAGGGAATGCATCTACACTGTTGGTAAGAGTGCAAACTAGTTCAACCTCTATGGAAAGCAGTGTAGGAATTCTTAAAAGAACTAAAAATTGACCTTCCATATGATCTGGCAATCTCTCACCTGGGTCTATACCATAAATTGTTCTACCAAAAAGATACCTGCACATGCATGTTTACTGACACTGTTCACAATAGCAAAAACACGTAACCAACCCTACTGCCCGACAAATGTGGACTGGATAAAGAAAAGGTGATACATATTTATGATGGCATAATATCTAGTCATAAAGAAGAATAAAATCATGGACTCTGTAGCAAATTGGATGGAGTTGGAGACCATCATACCAAGTAAACTATCACAGAAACAAAGAACTGAATAGCGCATGTTCTCATAAGTGGGCCCTGAACATTAGTCACATGATCACAAGGGAGGGATCGGCAGTCACTGGGCACAACTAGGGGTGGGAGAGAGGGAGGAAGGTGGGAGGGCATGTGATAACACAAAGGGTACCTAGTCCACTGCCAGAGGAAGTGAAGGCCAGTTGGAAACCCAAACTTCAATTGCATGTAGCCTACTTATGTAGTTAATCCTCACTTGTACACCACATCTCTATAATAAAATCAATTTTTTTTAAAAAAGCAGCAATGAAGGTGTTTTCTCCAGAGTACTCTCTGCTAGTTGCTGTGATCTGCCCTAAGATAACTGGTTTTGTTAACTAGAGAGAGACCACCACTTGGTTAGAATACAGTTGTGAAGATTACCTTTTTTAACCTTACTACTGATTACATCTATTAATGTTTATTATTAATTATTCTCTTTTTTATTATGACATATTACCTTATTACTATTATTGCCTTGTTTCCTCACCAGACAATAAAAATCCAGAGTAGACTATATCCTTTTTTATAGAGTTGGGGTCTCACTCTGCACACAAGCTGGAGTGCGGTAGCACGATCATGGCTCACCACAGCTTCAAACTACTGGGCAATCCTTCCACCTCAGGTTCCCAAGTAGCTGGGACTATAGACATGTACCACCACGCCCTGGTAATTTTTAATTTTGTAGAGATGAGGTCTCTCTAAGTTGCCTAGGTTGGTCTCAAATTCCTGGGCTCAAGCAATTCTCTCACCTCAGCCTCCCAAAGTGCTGGGGTTACAGTTGTGAGCCACTGCACTAAGTCTAGAATATCTTCTAAATTATGCAAGTTTGTGAACACTTTGTACTTTGTACTCCATGAGGGCAGATACTAGAATCACCACTGTTCTCTGCTACAACCTCAATAGATTAAATAAATATGTGATAAAAAGAGAGAAGAAAAGCTGGTTCTCACCAACAATCCTACAACTTCCCCTATGTTCATTTTATACTGAATTACTTTGTACTTACTGTTACTGACCAAAGTTATTCAGCTGTTTGAATTCTGCTGCTAGACCTGGTGTGTAACCATTACATTGCCCACTCTATTCTGGATGGGAAAGACCAGCAACAAAATGGAATGGCTGTGCTAACTGCATGTAAAATCACCTCAACTGAAAAAGGAAAAGGGGTAGATTAGAACCCCTGTAGGGATTATATAACCCAAAAACCTGTCTCGGGGCCAGAGACAAAAGCAGGCTCTATTGGAGGGGTGGGCTCTGCATTCCCAAATGCAGTGTGTGTCAGACTCTCCACTTGCCTACGCCTTGATCCCTTGTAAGTACCACAAGCTACTCATATTAAGCAAATTCCCACTTATCTTGCAGACCTCAGCTTAAATCTTAGTTTCTGAAGAGCCCTTCCTTGATCCTCTCCTCCATCCAAACTGAGTCCCCTTGATAATTCCTCTTATTGTACCATGTTCCTTTCCTTCAATGGACTTATCACAGTCTATGCATAGGCATCACTTGTGTGCTTATTTGAAAAATGTCTGTCTTCATCCCTAGACTGCAAACTTCATGATGGCAGACACTGGAATCGCCACTGTTCTGTTATAACCACAATGCCCAGCAAGGTGCCTGGTATATAACAAGAACTCAAATATTTGGGCTGAATTGAAAGAATAAACAGCTATCAATTTAGCCTCCCAAATATCTTGATTCTGAAAAAGGGGGTAGAGGGCTGGATAAGGGAAATAGGTGTTTGGGTCACTAGAAAGGTATCAGCCTCATAGTAATTAAGTAAGGTGGTATTGTGCTTTAAAAAGAAACACATGTAATTTTCATCACCCTAATTAAATTGTAAGACCTTAAGTACAAGAAACATGTCTGTTTAGTTCACTGATATATAGGCTTTAAGAGTGGACCACACCCTCAACTCCCCTACTAGGGCATGATGCTGATGTCTCAAGTCCCCACAGTACAGACGCACTCATCTGGGAGAAGCATTGTCTCTCTGCTGGTTCCTCTTTTCAAGGCTCCAGATGGCTGGTTCCTCTTTTCAAGGCTCCAGATGGCTGAGGATAAGGCAGGACAGCAAAAGGAGGAAAAGGCACTGAGGATAGGTTTCACAACCACACTGCCTGCTGAGACTCAGTCCTGGTACTTGGCACCTCCACATCCTCAGAGGCTTTTGGACGAATAATGTTGAAAAGGAAAAATTTTAACAGCCTTACAATCCAATACTCAAAATCCCTGAGGTGAGATGGTGACCTGGAAAGAAGGGTCACCCAAACACCTAGCTCTTCCTTCACAAGATTTTGAACCAACATGAGATAAAGATTTTCTGCTCCCAGGGTCCAGGCTCATTTAGAGGTGTTATGGCCAAGTTGCTATAACCATGGGTGGCTTGAGCCAGGAAGGCATGATTTGGGGATCAGCTGACCCACCTCCTGGCCATGTGGCCCAGGACAAATCACCTAACCTCTCTAGTTGTGAACATTCAATAAAATAACACTGTAAAACAGTGAGTCCTGCATGTGCCTGTGCCATACACTAAGCTATTAACTGGGAATGAGCTTACCTGGACATTCTCTTCAGTCACCTCAATTTCGGCAGTATAGATGTAGTCAATCAGCTTACTCAGAGTCTGCCCATCCACGTCCTTGATTTCTATCTTCTTGGCTTTACTCTCAGACATGTCACCTACAGTTCACAACAGAAACAAAAAGGACATGAACATGGCACCTAGGGTATGCTTACCTTCCACACGGCCTTTGTCCCTGTCTTGGAAACATAAAAGCACAGTCTGAAATAGAAGGGATTAGGCACGGAGGAGGATAAACCAGCTGACGTCAACGTCACTTCAACTTTGGGTCTGTGATCACCCACAAATTCAATCTTATGCATTCCTCACTCTGTCACCTGTTTCTGTTATGAAGGCAAATCAGTGTGTAATCACTCATTCAACCAACATTTACTATGAACTTCTACACACATGACCGGGAAAAGTGAACACAATATACACCTGTCCTCAAGGAACACAGGTCTTGTAGGACAGATAAACAAAAATATTTACAAACAGGTGGTAAGAGCTTAGTAGAGGTATACACAAAGCACTGTGATGACAACAACAAGAATAAGTAACTTTTGTTGAGTGCCACCTATTGCCAAGCACTGTGTTAAACACTTTAAAGTCTTGCCTCTTTTAATCCTCATAACCACCTAACAGACTTATTGATATTATCTCCACTTTCACAGATAAAGAAATAAAAATACAAGAGGGTGGGTAACTCATTTTGCCCACAGTCACACACCTAAAAAGGAGTTAAGTTGAGTTGAAACCCAGGGAGTCTGACTCTGGAGTCCATACTTATAACCACTGTGCTCTACTAAATCCCAAGAACACAGAGGAGGGGAGCAGCAAACCTTGCCTGAAATTCTACTCACAGGAGCTCATACTGGAGCTGGGTATCAGAGGATAGGAAGAGTTCCATGGACTGCAGAGGTGAGGAAGGATGAGCTGGATGTGGGATCCACATGTACAAGGAGAGGAAAGCACCAAAAGGATGGATTTGGGGAATGGTGAGAAGCTGGTGTGGCTGAGACACAGAGTTACAGTGGGAAGAAGGAAAGTGAAGAGGCCGATGTGAACAGGACTTGCAGAGCCCTGTAAGTCATGTAAACGAGTCTGGACTTCGAGAGGTAGTAGCGCTGAGAGGTTTTCAACAGGGGAATGACATAAACAGATGAATATTTCTGAATGAAATTTTGGATGCAGGGCAGACGTATATCGGAAGCAGGAAGAACAGTTGGAGTCCATGATAATAATCCAAGAAAAAGAGAAGGTAGGGCTGTAAGTAAGGGTACAGCAGTACCACATCTCATGATCCCGAGGCTGTAGCCCACACTCTGTATACAACACACAGGTTTCTCTAGAGCCAGGCTCATTCAACAAGGGCTGCTGATTTCAGAAGGAAAAACAGGCAACACATGTATCTTTGTAGACTGAAATAAAGGGCAACCTGACTGTGAGAAACAAGGATTCAGAAGCCTCAATGTGAGTGTGAAAACCGAGCCTGGGCGGTTGCTTTCTCTCTGTGGAATTTGTGTACCAGAGCCAAGAATAAAGTACAGTACAGTACGTGGGCTGTAGACACCCACCTCCAAGCTGCATGGATTGCACGTGATTCCTCCACCAATCTACAGTCCCCATCCTGACACAGTTTCTAGAGCTGAACAGAGAACAGGGAGGAAAATAGGGGGGAAAATATTCCAGAGCTCGCCTGTTCCCTTCACTGCCAGATCACGTGGACCCGGGATTCTCCACTCTGTTCCTCTGTTCTCTGGCTACTGGTAGAAGCCAGTGAAAAGGCCTCAGCACAGAGAGCTCTGGAGCAGAATGAAGAGGTGATTGGAAACAGAACAGATGGTGGATTCCTAGTGCACCCACAAGACAGGATCTCACAATCTCTCTCTCTTGAGTTTATTCTGAGACACACAAACCAAAATCTGCACACACAAGAAGATCAGAAGTTAAGCTATTAGAAGTTCGCTAATGAGAGTCCAGTGGGTAATTATATTGCAAAAGATCATCAAAGCCAATTCTTTGTTTAAGAAATTGGGCCTTAAAAAAATAAGACCAAAAAAAAAAAAGCAACTGTATTCCAAGAATCAAGAGATTGAAAAAGCTTCATGGGAGCATAAAACAAAGCCTGGGCTTGATTGCTTTAAGTCTGTGGAATTTGTGGGGAGTCAGGTTAGGGTTTTGTAACTTTGAGGTAAACAACAGAACCTCCTGAAATTATGTGAAAATATTTTTATATGTGTGCAAATGTTCAGTTTTTCTGAGAGGATGACAGATCTTGCTTTATCAGATTCTTACTGGGTTCTAAGATTCAGAAAATGTTAAGACAGTTTTCTAGGCAATGGGACTTTGAGAGTCTTTTTTCTGCCACTTTATATGACTACGAAATTTCTTATTTTGTACATTAAGCACTTAAAACTTAAATAAGCAAGAAAAAAAACTAGGGGCTTGAAGACATTGGTTTTTTCTAAGAAAGCTCCCTGGTAGTAAATTAGAAAACTGTGTAAGTCACACAGACTTGTAGAATCCAATCTTATTATCTCTTATGAACCAGCAAAAATGATAACACCAAACTAAAACTTTAGCTTAAATAGGCCTTGGAAATCATCGTAATAATGGGCACTACTGTGTTCCTGGCCCTCTGCTAAGGGTTTATACACATTACTTCATGTAATCCTCATAATGGCCCCATTTTACAAATTATAGAATTGGTATTTCAAGAGGTATTTACACATGGGTGCTGAGAGGCGAGGCTGGGATTTGAACCTTAGCCTAACTCTAGACCCTGTGTCATTTCTACAGATTCTTCTATAAAATCTTACCCTAACTAATGACCTTAATAAAAGTATTTCCAGACTCAAGGCATTGATTCCAATTCTGAGGATAAGTTAATACTTAATACCTAGCAAAGAACTAAGCAGGCTGGGATCTTGTCATGCTTATTTGTCAAGATATCCTCAACATGTAACAAAGTACTTGGAATATATCAAGCACTTAAAAAAATATGTGTTGGAGTGTGAAAAAAAAGAAGAGGGGAAGTTCTCTTGACATCTCCATGGACTTTAGTGATTCCTGAGGGGTAGAAACCATCAAGGACTTGTTCATTCTCGCTTCTTCATTCACCTCTGATAGTTTAAAACACTATTTTTAGAAAACAGAACCATCTTTAAGGTTAACCCAAGCATCCTTCTCTGCTAGCTTTTCCCAAGAAGCCCAGTGGCCACCTCAGGCTCTCAACTTTCCGAGAATGTCTTGTCACGCGCATATCTGTTTAGCCCTTTCCATCATCTGCTTGTCGTCTGTTAATATGCATGGCCTCTTTCTCCAAACAGAACATGATCCACTCAAGGCCAGATATTTGCTCATTCATCCATCTATCCATTCATTCATTCATTCAGCAAATGTGCCCCTTATGTCAAGCACTGTATTAGACCCAGAGAATACCACAGCCCTGCCCTCATGGAGCTCTGTCTGGTGGAAAGAGAGAGAGAGAGAGAGACAAAGAAGTAAACTAACAATTGCAAAAAATATCAAATGCTAAAAAAGAAAACTCAGCTTGAAAGGTTCGTAAGCCAAGGATTCCTGTGCCCTAAAGCTGCATGCAAAATGAAGAACATACAAGAGCACATATTTGCTTTTCTGGGGAGAGAGTCCATTGTTTTTATCAGATTAATTCATAATGGTTAAGAATCACTGATCTGAAACAGGAGTCATAGTTATTCAGAAGAGAAGTGAGAGTGAGGGAAGAGTATTCCACAGAAAGGCCTGAAGGTTAGAAAGAGAGTGACATGTCTGGGAGCCATAAGAATTTCAGTCTGGCTGGGCTCAGTGTGCAAAGGGAAGAACAGTGAGATGAGGCTGTAGAGATAAGCCATGCTAAGGAGTTTAGACTTCATCCTAAGGGCAATGGAGAGTCCCTGACAGATTTTAAGCCAGTAGGGATACATGAAATTTTTATTTTGGGAAGGTCACTGTACCTCAGTGTGGAGAATGAGTTGGGGGTGGGGAAACTAAACATCTGACCAATTAGAAGGCTGCTGCAGACTATCAGGTGAAAGATGCTGTTGGCCTGAACGAGGGAATCTCACCCCTTCTCCAACTGCACAAAGTCAGGAAGAAAATGCCTGTGTTACCACACAGATGTTTCAAATCAACCTGAATTGCCACTAGCCCTCACATCCAGAAGAGCTTTAAAAACTATGAAGTGCTCTACAAATAATAACAGTAAACTTTATTAAGTGCCTATTCTGTGCTAGGTTCCTTATACCCATTACCTATATTTGTTCCCTGGTTATTGTTATTATTTCAGTATCATAGATAAGAAAACAGAGGATCAGAGAGGATAAGTGAATTTATTAAGTGCTGCAGCTACGACTTGAATCAAGATCATTATGACCTGAAAGCCCTTTTCAAGATACCACACTATCTCCCAATGCAAGGTGGCATTACCACACTTGGGCTTAATTCTTAAGACCCAAAAAGTCTCTACTTCACCAACCCCATACCTCCTCTGTGAACATGCAGAAAACATTCCTTACCAATAGTTATTTCCAGTGACAATCTGAATTTTAAGGCTGAATTACTCTAAACCCAATCAAATCTACCCAGACTATCTCAGTCAAACAAGCAGTAGCTTAATGGGAAGATGGTGGGTGGTGAATAATCATCTCTATTCCCAGATGCTGCACAGCCTTCTGTTGAACCACAATCCAAATCCCTGCTTTAAAAAGTCACCATTTCTACATCAAGAGCAATAAATTATTAGGCATAATTACTGCTTCCCTCACTCCCGAATCTGGGTCTTCTAAGCCAGAAAAAGATGCCTTTGATGTGGTGTGTTAAGAACAGGAAAAAGAAACCATATGTCCCTGTCACTTCAGCCCAAAGGTGACTAACTCTGGAACACAGTCACATGGAAGGTGAAGCCACTACTCCGTAATCCCAAACAGCCCCTGACATCCTCAGTCCTTTTATTCTGATCTATTCTACCCAATTTCTAACTCTTCAGGGGCAAAATTCTCAGAAACCAGGCCCTATCTACTGCCACTATTACTCAGCAACCTCCCTCAAGGCCCACTTTAGTCAAAGAAGGGATTCAGTTCCCTAGTTCTCCTTCCCTCACTGTCCCATGACCTTGTATTAAGTTTTGCTGAGCTGTACGTTATGCAAAGTTCCTCACTTGGAAGTGTCCACATATTCTTTAGTACACCATGCAAACACCTAGAACACAGGTATGAGCCACAGGCCAGGGCCTGCTAGGGTCTGGCATGTAAAAAGAGTGAAACAACAGTTCTATGGAATGAGTTCATGCCTGAGAGGTAAGACCGCCAGGTCTTCATGGTTCTGCTGTGTAGATGACTAGTGTCTACTCAAATTCTAAGCCCTTTGCCTCTGATGCCCAGCACTTTCTTGACCATTCCTCCCTATTCCTACTCACCATGTGCTCAAAGATACCCGTTGAATTATCAGCTTAAATCTAATAAAAATTGTACAGTAATGCTTCTATAAAAACAAAAAACAATCTAAATCAGCCACTGCATATATTATAGTAGAACCAGATAAGTGGAACAGACCATTCCTCATTTGGGATGGGAGACCAAGTATCTCTTAGCCACAATGATGGGCATGAGACCCTGAGTCTACATATTCTTTAGACCTTGGTTCTTTTAACATCCTAAAATGAAGGATGTTCTTAAAGGATCTTGATGACATATAGGTCAGGGATCCACATTTGGTACAAATACTATGGTAAAGGGCATGATTAAAAGAGAAAAATTGATGAGGCAATTTTGGGAAAATTGTCTCCTCTGGATGGAGGTGCTAGATGGGAAGGATGGAAGGTGAGTCTTAAATATTCCACACTCACAGGAAAAAGAACACAGCACTACCAGTCTCTCCACTCATGTTACACTGAACGGAGCAGAGGACAATTAGGGTGACTGCTGACCCCAGGACTTCTCACAGGCTAGCTGGATTTGGACACTCTCTGGTGAGTACTCAGAACTTGGTTTCACATTTATTTCAGGTTATTGTGGGCAGGATATGGTCAATGAGTGTGGGTTTGGTATTTGGAACCACCACGGACATTTGAGCAATATGAACTCAGAGTGTAAAACAACAAAAACATTTAAACTTGAGCAAAAGATCATAATCACACAACTCAAGTCATAAGAAAGTCAAGTTTTTTTATTTTTGTTTTGACATTAAACATGCTGATAGAAATGGACTTAACAAGTCAATTTCATGATTAACCTTTTCAGGAAGAATTTTATGCATTTTGAGGCTGAACATAATAATTAGAACAAAGTTTTACAATGTTACTGAAGTTTTTTTGTACCTATTTACCAAAGCCAAGGAGTTCCATAAATACATAAATCTCATATATATTGCTGATGGGAGGGTAAGTAAGTTGGTATAACTGTTCTTTAAAACAGTGCAGCACATGTCTCAAAAGTCTTCAAAATGTGCATACTCTTTAACCAATTATTTCTTATTCTAAGAAAATACTCAGACACGTAAATAAAGATTAAGATGTAAAGATGCCCATATAGTATTATTTATAACAACAAAATATTAGAACTATTATTTCCAAAAATGATGAAATGCATTTTCAATTAGGGTACATATGATAGACTCTTATGAAGCCATTAAAATGAGAATGTAAATGGGCTTTCACGAACATGGAAAGATATTCATGATATATTGTAAGTTTTATTAAACAAATTTATAATGAGCACCTACTACATGGAAGACCAAGCTAGGCAGTGGGACCATGGCAGTGAATTTAAAAGTTATAGTTCTTATCCTTATATAGCTTACAACTGACTAGGGAAATCAAATATTGAGGAAGTAATAAGATGAGTAGTAACACTAACGAGAAGCATATGGTACCATGGGAGTAAGTTGTAAAGGAATTTAACCTAATCTAAAGAGGTTATGGACAGCCTTCCTGAGGCAATGAAGCTTAAGCAGTAGTGAAGGATGCATAGGAGTCAGGCAGCCAGAGAGACAGGAGGAAGAACATTCCAGGAAGATAAATAGCAATTTAAAATACATGCAGATTGGAGGTTGGGAAGATGGTGATCAAGCCAGTCAGACTACGTGAGTCCCTGTATGAGTGAGTGAGTGTATAGAAAATTTGGTGTACATGCTGGTGAGCAAGTGGGCATGTGAGTGGCTGAGTGAGGGCTAGGGAGCTGGCGGCCAGGGCTCTCCTGGTGCAGCAGCTGGCGCCACAGATGCTGGGCTTGGACCCTAGCGACTCCCAGGACGCAGAAGCCGAGCGCCATTTTCTTTTTCTTTCTTTCTTTCTTTTTTATTATAAAGATGTGGAGTACAATTCAGGGTTAGGTATACGAACATTGATTATGCAGGTACTCTTGTTGATGAGGTATGCCCTCCCTCCCCTAGCAGTTTCCCTCAACTGCCAATCCCACCCCCCTCCCCTGACAGTTTCCCATTACTGCCAATCCCTTTCTTATAGCATTGTAATTGTTCAAGATTCGCTTATGAGTGAGAACATGGTTCTCTGTTCTTTATTTCTGTGATAGATCACTCAGTATGATTGACTCCAAATCCATCCAAGTTGCTGCAAAGTCCATATATTTGTCCTTCTTTATGGCTGCGTAATATTCCATTGTGTATATGTACTACATTTTCTTTATCCAGTCCAGCTCCAATGGGCAACTTTGTTGGTTCCATGCTTTTGCTATTGTGAATAGAGCTGCAACAAACATACACGTGCAGGTATCTTTTTTGTAGAATGATTTGAGTTCCTCTGGGTATATTCCCAATAGGGGAATTGCTGGGTCATATGGAAGGTCAATTTCTCATTCTTTCAGAAATTGCCACTAGTTTGCATTCCCACCAGCCATGTAGAAGTGATCCTTTTTCTCCACATCTGTTGTTGTTTGTTTTATTAATGATGGCCATTCTTACTGGGGTTAGGTGGTATCTCAATGTGGTTTTGATTTGCATTTCTCTGATGATGAGTGAGGCTAAGGACTTTTTCTTGTGTCTGTTGGCTGCCCGTATATCTTCTGAGAAGTGTCTATTCATGTCTTTTGCCCACTTTTTAAAGGGCTGTTTGTTTTTTTCCTTACGGCGCGTTTGAGTTCCTTGTAGATCCTAGATGTTAGGCCTTTGTCAGATATACAGTTGGCAAATACTTTTTCCCATTCTGTGGTCTGTCTGCCTGTTCTCTTAATGGTTTCTTTGGCTTTGCAGAAGCTCGTTAGTTTGATGAGGTCCCACTTGTCTATCTTATTTCTTAAAGTATTGGCCTTTAGGGTTCTGAATAGGAATTGGTTGCCAGTTCCAATTTCCATAAGGGTGTCTCCTGCGTTTTCTAAGATTCTTTTAGTTTGAGGTTTTATGTTTAGGTCTTTGATCCATTTAGAGTTAATTTTTGTGTATGGTGATAGGTAGGGGTCCAGTTTCAATCTTTTTTATTTTTTATTTTTAAATCAACAAATCCTCCCTGGGAAGAAAATGCTGGGAGAGACTGTCTAAGTGGGGGCACATGAGCAAGTGGCCAAGCCCCTGGTGCAACAGCTGGTACTGAAGCTTCTCTGCTTCGTCTCTGGCTCTTCCCAGGTCATATAAGCCATTTTTTTTATACTCAATATTTTTTATTATGATATTGTGGGGTACAGTTAAGGGTTAGGTATACAAATACGTTTTGTTCAGACACCCTTGTTGATAAGAGGTGTTTCCCCATCCCCAGACAGATATTTACTACCGTTAATCCCCTCTCCCTCCATCCCCATAGTTTCCCTCTACTGTCAGTCATTTTCTTATAGTATTACATTGGATGTTCAAGGTCCACTATGCGAGTGAGGACATGTGATACTCGGATCTTTGTTTCTGTGAGAGGTCACCCAACATTTATAGACTCTAGTTCCATCCAGGTTGCTGCAAAATTCATGACTTTGTTCTTTTTTATGGCTGCGTAGTATTCCATCGTGTATATGTACCACATTTT